ACACACACAGACACACACACACACAGACACACACAGACACACACACAGACACAGACACACACAGATACACACACACAGACACACACACACAGACACACACACACAGACACACACAGACACAGACACACACAGACACACACACACAGACACACACACAGATACACACACACAGACACACACACACAGACACACACACAGACACACACACACAGACACACACACACACACACACACACACACACACAGACACACACACAGACACACACACAGACACACACACACAGACACACAGACACACAGACACACACACAGAGTCTATAATCCCGACTGTTTTAACTGAGAACAAACTGTAACACTGACCTGGAACACACCGGCGTGTTAATGTGTGTGTGTTAACAACCCCCCCCCCCCCCCCACACACACACACACACACACACAGAAGCATCAGACAGCGAGCGTGATGAGACACTCAGAGAGAGAATCGGTGTAAATAATTTATTGGACTCGAAACAGCCTCCACTGTTTTATCTCCGTAAATAACTCAGTTACACACACACAGTTACACACACAGTAACACACACACAGTTATACACACACACACACAGTTATACACACATACACACACACACAGTAACACACACACACAGTTATACACACACACACACACAGTTATACACACATACACACACACACAGTTATACACACACACACACACAGTTACACACACAGACACACAAAGACACAGACACACACAGACACACAGTAACACACACACACACACACACACACACACACACACACAGACACAGACACACAGTAACACACACAGTAACACACACACACAGTTATACACACACACACACACACACAGTTACACACACACAGACACACAAAGACACAGACACACACAGACACACAGTAACACACACACACACACACACACACACACACACACAGACACAGACACACAGTAACACACACACAGTAACACACACACAGTTACACACACACATACACACACACACAGTTATACACACACACACACACAGTTACACACACACATACACACACACACAGTTACACACACACACATACACACACACACAGTTACACACAGTAACACACACACAGTTACACACACACACACAGTAACACACACACACACAGTAACACACACACTAGCATAGCTTCAGATAAATCTCAATAAATGCAGGTGTTTGTTTTATTTGTCTGCATCTCTGTGTTCATACACTTCATAATGAGAGGGAAATACCTGATTATGCTAAGCTAAATGAGGCTATTTACTCATGTTGTGTTATTTATAACATGGGTAAATATTCATAACCACCCTCTGCGTGAGACCTCGTAACTGAGCTGCAGCCTGGTTAGACTAAAAGCTTCCCTCTGCCTCCAGTCTTTGTGCTAAGCTAGGCTAACAGTTTCCCTCTGCCTCTAGTCTTTGTGCTAAGCTAGGCTAACAGGTTCCCTCTGCTGCATCTTTGTGCTAAGCTAGGCTAACAGCTTCCCTCTGCTTCATCTTTGTGGTAAGCTAGGCAAACAGCTTCCCTCTGCCTCTAGTCTTTGTGCTAAGCTAGGCTAACAGCTTCCCTCTGCCTCCAGTCTTTGTGCTAAACTAGGCTAACAGTTTCCCTCTGCTTCATCTTTGTGCTAAACTAGGCTAACAGCTTCCCTCTGCCTCTAGTCTTTGAGCTAAGCTAGGCTAACAGTTTCCCTCTGCCTCTAGTCTTTGTGCTAAGCTAGGCTAACAGCTTCCCTCTGCCTCTAGTCTTTGAGCTAAGCTAGGCTAACAGTTTCCCTCTGCTTCATCTTTGTGCTAAGCTAGGCTAACAGTTTCCCTCTGCTTCATCTTTGTGCTAAGCTAGGCTAACAGCTTCCCTCTGCTTCATCTTTGTGCTAAGCTAGGCTAACAGTTTTCCTCTGCTTCATCTTTGTGCTAAGCTAGGCTAACAGTTTTCCTCTGCCTCTAGTCTTTGTGCTAAGCTAGGCTAACAGTTTCCCTCTGCTTCATCTTTGTGCTAAACTAGGCTAACAGCTTCCCTCTGCCTCTAGTCTTTGTGCTAAGCTAGGCTAACAGCTTCCCTCTGCCTCCAGTCTTTGTGCTAAGCTAGGCTAACAGCTTCCCTCTGCCTCTAGTCTTTGTGCTAAGCTAGGCTAACAGCTTCCCTCTGCTTCATCTTTGTGCTAAGCTAGGCTAACAGTTTCCCTCTGCCTCTAGTCTTTGTGCTAAGCTAGGCTAACAGCTTCCCTCTGCCTCCAGTCTTTGTGCTAAGCTAGGCTAACAGCTTCCCTCTGCCTCTAGTCTTTGTGCTAAGCTAAACTAACAGCTTCCCTCTGCCTCCAGTCTTTGTGCTAAGCTAGGCTAACAGCTTCCCTCTGCTTCATCTTTGTGCTAAGCTAGGCTAACAGTTTCCCTCTGCTTCATCTTTGTGCTAAGCTAGGCTAACAGTTTCCCTCTGCCTCCAGTCTTTGTGCTAAGCTAGACTAACAGCTTCCCTCTGCTTCATCTTTGTGCTAAGCTAGGCTAACAGCTTCCCTCTGCTTCATCTTTGTGCTAAGCTAGGCTAACAGCTTCCCTCTGCCTCCAGTCTTTGTGCTAAGCTAGGCTAACAGTTTTCCTCTGCCTCTAGTCTTTGTGCTAAGCTAGGCTAACAGTTTTCCTCTGCTTCATCTTTGTGCTAAGCTAGGCTAACAGTTTTCCTCTGCCTCCAGTCTTTGTGCTAAGCTAGACTAACAGCTTCCCTCTGCTTCATCTTTGTGCTAAGCTAGGCTAACAGCTTCCCTCTGCCTCCAGTCTTTGTGCTAAGCTAGGCTAACAGCTTCCCTCTGCCTCCAGTCTTTGTGCTAAGCTAGGCTAACAGCTTCCCTCTGCCTCCAGTCTTTGTGCTAAGCTAGGCTAACAGCTTCCCTCTGCCTCCAGTCTTTGTGCTAAGCTAGGCTAACAGTTTTCCTCTGCCTCTAGTCTTTGTGCTAAGCTAGGCTAACAGCTTCCCTCTGCCTCCAGTCTTTGTGCTAAGCTAGGCTAACAGCTTCCCTCTGCCTCCAGTCTTTGTGCTAAGCTAGGCTAACAGCTTCCCTCTGCCTCTAGTCTTTGTGCTAAGCTAGGCTAACAGCTTCCCTCTGCCTCCAGTCTTTGTGCTAAGCTAGGCTAACAGTTTTCCTCTGCCTCTAGTCTTTGTGCTAAGCTAGGCTAACAGTTTTCCTCTGCTTCATCTTTGTGCTAAGCTAGGCTAACAGTTTTCCTCTGCCTCCAGTCTTTGTGCTAAGCTAGACTAACAGCTTCCCTCTGCTTCATCTTTGTGCTAAGCTAGGCTAACAGCTTCCCTCTGCCTCCAGTCTTTGTGCTAAGCTAGGCTAACAGTTTTCCTCTGCCTCCAGTCTTTGTGCTAAGCTAGGCTAACAGCTTCCCTCTGCCTCTAGTCTTTGTGCTAAGCTAGGCTAACAGTTTCCCTCTGCTTCATCTTTGTGCTAAGCTAGGCTAACAGCTTCCCTCTGCTTCATCTTTGTGGTAAGCTAGGCAAACAGCTTCCCTCTGCCTCTAGTCTTTGTGCTAAGCTAGGCTAACAGCTTCCCTCTGCCTCCAGTCTTTGTGCTAAGCTAGGCTAACAGCTTCCCTCTGCCTCCAGTCTTTGTGCTAAGCTAGGCTAACAGCTTCCCTCTGCCTCTAGTCTTTGTGCTAAGCTAAGCTAACAGCTTCCCTCTGCCTCCAGTCTTTGTGCTAAGCTAGGCTAACAGTTTTCCTCTGCCTCTAGTCTTTGTGCTAAGCTAGGCTAAGAGTTTCCCTCTGCCTCTAGTCTTTGTGCTAAGCTAGGCTAACAGTTTCCCTCTGCTTCATCTTTGTGCTAAGCTAGGCTAACAGCTTCCCTCTGCCTCTAGTCTTTGTGCTAAGCTAGGCTAACAGTTTCCCTCTGCCTCTAGTCTTTGTGCTAAGCTAGGCTAACAGTTTCCCTCTGCCTCTAGTCTTTGTGCTAAGCTAGGCTAACAGCTTCCCTCTGCCTCCAGTCTTTGTGCTCCTTAAAGGTGGCTTTCAGTGTCGACATGCAAACGCAGCGTGCATAATGGCAGCAGATGAGTCATTAAGAAATGGTCATACATGCATGCATAATCACGCACGCACTCATGCACTGCAGCCACACACACAGAGTGAGTGTTGGCGTGTGTGCTGCAGAGGTGGAGCTGTGTAATGGAGCGTTGCTGTTTGTTCTGCCCTACATCTGCTCTGCTCTACATTACAGCTCGCTGACCTGACTCTGTGTGTCTCCTCTCACTAACTGATAAATCTGCACTCTGGACACTCGATCTGTGTTCCTACGACAGAAAGTCAGTCAGGCTGCAGACAAAAGACACGAACCTGATTTTTCTGCTCACATGTGACTCAGATCTGATGTCTTTATAACAGTGTGAACAGGTTACATGGACTCTGATCTCTGAGCCAGTTCATATGTGGTCCAAGCCTGATTGTTCGAAATACGGTTGGGTTCAGATAACCACGGTAACCTGACTTAATAAAAAGACTCAGCAGAGCGAGAGAGAGTTATAAGGCGGATGTGTTTTAATGAAAAGGACAGGAAGTTGTGAACATTTGTCTTAAATGAGAGAAATGTGATCTCGAGAGGAAACCAGGAGGGTTAGCATGTACGAGCTAACCTCTGTGGCTCCTTGTTTCCTTCTGTACGACAGCGTGCTATACATGACGGCGTGTTATTCTTCTGCACATGTGGGTCACTTTCTGACATCGGCCATCTGAAGTGAGCTTTACTGCAGATTGAAAATAGAGACAAAGTCTCACCAGACTCCATGTTGTTATTGGCAGATTTAAGGACAACTTTATCTCTGCCATCTTCTGCTACGACAGAATGAGTAAGGCTGTTCATGGTGTGTGAAGAACACGCTAGGCTAACTCATACAGCAGGTGAGTCTCAGGTCGTTGCGCTGGAATAAAAACGTTCATACTGAAGAGCAGGTAAAATAATTTCACTTCATTGGCAGTTTCTTTAGCTTATTTTATTTTTTCCACGTGAAAACGAGGTCTGGGTGTTTAAAACAGAAAATATACAGTGGTGTTTTTTTTGGCTCCATTCACCCACAATGCAATGCTGTATACTGTAATTCAAACATTATTCAAAAACATCAACATATAAAATCTGTAGTTAAATAAAATGAGCAAAAAAAAGAAAAGAAAATTAAACATTTAAAATAACCTGTTTCCATATTTTTGTGAACAGTGTTAGATGACACAGTGGATTCTGGTCATGAAAGTTGATCTAAATGTGCATAAAACAAATAAAATTAATCATCTTTTCACCAACATCACTCACAGCACAATGAATCCATAACATGTAACCCGTTACAGCGCCGGTGCTTCTTCTCAACGTTCAGGACAAATGTGCAAAAACACCAAAACTGGAGAAAACCGTGTGACGGGACAGAAAGAGAGATCAATTCATGTGAACATTTAACAACCAACACAAAAAGTGACCTTTAAATAGTTTACTGATATTTATTCATGTATTATTTATTGTTTATTTATTGTAATTTTAATTATTTTAATTACTTTGTATTTGTAAGGATGGTTCCTATTGTTCCTGTTGTACAGTGTTTTTATTATTATTATTATTATTATTGGCTCCACATGTCGTCCATATTTCCAGAAAGTTGTTTAGTATTTTTGTGAATCTATAAATTGTTATTTATTATTTATTTTATGCTAATATGCTAATAGTACACAATTATAGAACAAATGTTTTCAGCACTGTTTATGTGCTATAAACATTTCTGTGTGTCAACTAGAGCTCGATCGATAAATCAGCAGATATTAGCTTGAGCAACCAGAGGAACACGTCAGATCATACATTTCATTTCAACATCACCTGCGACTTCTTGTCGTTCATTCACGTCTGCGACACAAACGTGTTGTCATTTATATCCACAACGCGTGAATTTTTGTTTTTTGTTTGGCGATACACGTCTTGTCACGTGTCCATCCAAATTTATACTCCACCTGCGAAATGCTCCAGTACATGGTGGTCGTGATTGTTTAAAGCAACATTATGTAGTTTTTATTTTTCTCTTAAAATAACAGCTGGAAAGTCATTTTGATGGAACACTGACTTGTAACAGGGTGGATGGCGTCTCATTCCCACTGCTGTTACTGAACGATGTAGCATTGAAACCTATCGAGAGAACAGCGTAAAGCTTCATGGCACCAACACGACTCTGCAGAGAACTATAAGACGAAGCAACAAGTATATAAAGTACAATGTGAGTTCTTTGGAAGAAGTATTCTCAGTATAGATATCACGGCAGAGGCTGAAGAGGCCGAAGAAGACGTCGGAGGAAGAGAGAATGACCGGATGTGAGTAAAAATCAGACGCTTTTACTCGTTGAGCTAAAAGAGCTGAAAGGCTGCAGGACAGAAGGCGAGCTGGCCTCCCAGAAAAAGACAATATGGGTCGTTTGTGCAGCGCGATATTACGACCTATGTTTGGGTTTACTGTGGTAGCGACCTCTAGTGGCCGTACGACAGAAGCAAAGAAGGAAGTCAGGTGACGTAGTATTAATAGTCAGAAGGTCCGTTTGGATATACTTGCTTTTTAACAATGCGTAGGCGTCGACAGGCTTCGGCGAAGCAAGCGGCTTTGTTCACATACTTGCCTGCGTACTTTGCGTGTACCTGAATCCACTAGGGGGCAGACCAGGACCGGATTCTCCCTCGCAGACACCGGATTATCTTCCTCGACAGTCTCCGAATTTTCCACATTGTAAACAAACCAAACATGGCGACACTCGAGCAGGTTGTGATTTTAGACGTCACAATGATCTCGGTAATTGCGTTTACTGGCGGTTGGCGTGCACAACCTACGCTCCAAAGGAAAGCAGGATACGCGTGGCAGCCATCTTGCTATGAACGCATAGTTAAAAGCAAGTATATCCAGGGCTTTAGGAGGTCGGATGGGTCAAAACTTTCACTTTCCAACTTTTGAGTCCCGTGTGAAGCCAAGTAAATGATATGAGTTTTAAGTTGTATAGAGTTACTGACGTCCGTCATGTGACTTACATAATTGACTTATTTTAACCCAAATCCTAATCTTTTGCTAAACCTGACCAAACTGTGAACATTTCACAACATTTACCACGTGTTGAATGTCACGTGACTTACGTAAGTAGTTAAGTTGTCTGGTATTGGAAATGCTCGTGTCTTTTCGGGAGGCATGGACCAACATCATATTTTGTTGTTTAGGTTGGAGGACAGGTAATTCCTGTTGGACTAGTCAGTAATAACTTACTGTCTTGTTGCTCTTGCTTGTTTGCAAAGTGAACCAGCCAGAGGTTTCACATCTGCTACAAGTGTGGAGTTGATGTTAGCAAACTTACTAGCTAACACACTCGGACATCGGAAACTGTTAGTGCTCCAGCGTCAGTTGCTGGCTAGCTTTGTTGGCTAGCTCCCCAACCAAGCAACTTCATGCTGCTGCAGGTGGAGAGCCGGCGCCAAGCGAGGGGGCAATATAACCGGGATCAGCAGGATGTAACGTTAGCTAAAGGCAGAGGAGTAGAGACCGAAGAGGACGCTGAGGGAAAAAGAGCAGGACCGAGCAAGAAGCTGCCGGACGTTGGCGAGAGATTTGTGAAATAAAAGTCTGCAGGACCAACGGTGAGCTGGCCTTCTTCCTGTTGGACTAGTCAGTAATGTTGCTGCGTCTTGTGATGTCGTGCTTACTTGATTTTTGGCTGTTAGCAACGACTGGCGATGGAATCACAACAAAGGGATGCCAAATCGCGCAAAAAAACCCCATCTTACATAATGTTGCTTTAAAAACAATTTTAAGAAATGGAAATGTTTTATTTATATATTTAAAGTAAGCACTCTGGGCCGATGTATTGCTGTTGGACTTTTTAAACTCAACTGTCCTCAAATATCCAGTCCAGTACTAATTGTGCTAATTGTAAAAGCAGCACTAAAACACAACCATTAGCAGACGTAAAAAGGACTTTAAGGTGGGTCCTGCTTTATTACCCGATCATGTGAATGGTCCGTGTTTCAAATTCTAGTTTTAAGATCTTCACGGTTTTAATTTCAGCTTATATATTCTTAAATGTTTTACCACAGATCAAATCCCAAGCTGTAATAAAAAGAAACAGAGTACATACTGCACAGAGGGGGAGGAACAGAGGTTAATCTGGGTTAAACCGTGCTTTTTGGTCTGTTACAGCCCATTACTGATTAACAAGTCTTAGAGAACACATTTTGTTTCTCATTGACAGTATTGCTTATTTTCTCTTTACGGTGTAAAACACTGAACTCCCTGATTTTTGTTGTAGCTACACAAAACTCACTGCAAATGTTTGAAACGTCACATCAGTGAGCTGGAAGGGCATTTATGGGGCTACAACTACATCAGACTGACAATTTATAAGATTGTTTTAACAGAAATGTCGCACAAGAAGACATATTATAAATATCAAAGAAATCAGGTAACAGATATTTATTCATCAAGTCCCTAAGAAATTCAGTGCCTTTACGTTTTTGTCGCATTGAAAAAGTTTCCCATTATATAAACGTTGACATCTTTGCTTGGAAAAAAAATTGTCTTTAAATCAAACTGTCTTTTTTTCCATCTCCCAAAACCCCAAATATATTTCCAAAAAGCTCTTGGGGGAAGATGTTGCCTGGAAAATCATAGGAGAGGCTTCAGGAACAACGTGCAGCATCATTCGAAAAAGTGGAGTGGGAGCGCCCACTGCCTCTTGGCTCTAAATTCTGTTTAATCAAATTAAATGTGACACATCCGTCACGCAAAGAGACTTTGTGGAATAAAACGGGCAGCAGAAGTGAGGGCGGTCTAGTGCACTGTGGAGGATTAAAGTCGTTAAACCTCCTGGGAAGAACTGTATTGCTGGTTTCAAAATAATCCACACTTGCTGAAGTGTTCACGTGCAACCATCCCTGGATTAGAAGATGAAAAACATTTAAGGAATAGAATTAAAAACTCCCAAATTATGCAAATCCTGTCTGGGTTTTTTGTGTGTAAGCATGCTGAAAAAACGCTGCTACTTTCATCGAGTAAAGTCAATTATTCAATAAAGATTTGTAAGAAAGAAAATCCTCATCAAGGTGTCTCAGACTCGTCGTCATCCTCAGGTGACGTCGGTGAGGTGGGCGTATCGTCCTCATCTGCCGTCGCGGTCGCTGTTGGCAACTGAGCCACCGCCGCTGTTGGCGTCATCTTCTCGTAGGTCCTCCTGCGCTGCCGCCGTAGAGTCTGGCTCTGCAGCTCCTTCACCTCCTGCAGCACCTCCTGTGCCTCCTTCCACGACGACACGGCCTCCTCCAGGAGACGCTCGGCCTCGGCACGCCTGTTCTCCACCTCGAGGTCCTCCTCCGACAGCAGGGACGGAGGCGAGGACGGCGAAGGAGGGGACAGGCGGTGTTTGTCGGGGGTCTTGGGCTGCGAGGACTCATAGGGTCCAGAAAGGCTCGGGGAGTTCTTCTGACTCGGACAGGGCGACTCCTTGCTGCTCCCCACACGAGGGGAGTCGGTTTCACTGCTTCGTGGTGAATCGGATCCTTTAACATGCGAGGAGTCGAATCTGCTGACACATGGAGGTGATTCAGGCGACTTCTGCACGGGAGAGTCGTCCTCCTTGTTGGGACAAGAGGAGCTGGACGATCCCTTGAGTTTTGGTGAACGGACCGCGTCGGAGCTCTTTGTCTGAGGGGAGTCGGTGGCAGCGTGACGAGCTGAATCTTTCAGTCGAGGAGAGTCGTTTGCTTTAGCGGCAGGTGAATGAGACCCTCTGGAGCGAGGCGAGTCGGCCCCTTTGGAGCGATTCCTCTTGGCTTTGGATCGAGGAGACTCTCTCCCCCTCAGACGAGGAGAGTCTTTGCCCCGGAGGCGAGGAGAGTCGCTGCTCCTGCTCCTTGGAGATCCAGACGACCTGCTGAGAAAGACAAAAAAAACTCAGTGATGAAATTAGCTGGTTACTTTGCCTCTGCAACTCTTTCAGACCCTCTGGTGTTTTCATCTTTACAAACCAATGTTGCACAGACGAGCCTCAGTCAAACTAGCAAGACTTGGCTTTTACCCAAAGTCTTATATATATATACAAACGGCCGGATTTCATTGAAATGTTCAGCTATTAAAGGCCTCGGTGACGCTTTAAACTAAGTTTATGTCAAATGGTCTTTCAGTGCCTACAAAGACCTTTCTGACAGCGGAATCTGGAGCTCAACCACAGATTTAGTACTTTTCAAAACCATGGCCACTTTCCTCAGTGATTTACCAAGTGTGCAAGTATGCAGAGTTTGAACTTCGCTCTCAAATTACTTGTTCGATTCTTCACACAAATATTCCTGTCACACGTGAACAACCAAGCGCAACACCGTGAATGTCTCTGAGGAGAGACTGTCTGTGCTCTGTTAAATGCATTTTGTATGAATCGTCGCATCAAGACAACAAACACGCAGAGATGTTTAAGACAGGTCGGGGAGGAGGTGAGATACAGCCAGAAGGAGGCAATGACAACCTGTTCTCATCCTAACATCGTCACATATGGACGCTTGTTCAAGTTTGCTTTTTAATGTCCTGGTTACACTTTAACAACATTTTTTATACAGGTAGGTCAAGTTAGCAAGAATAAATATGCAACGTCCGGTCAGACTTTCAAAATAAAATAGGTGGTTAACGTTGTGAAATGTCGAAATTTGGTTAGCTTTAGGAAAAGATCATGGTTTGGGTTAAGATAAGTACTCAACTTATGTGACTTAAATCACGTGAGTGACTGACCGTAACTTACGTAGCATTACTAAAAGGAATCAATGTTGACTTTCTGTTTCACACAGGGAACAAACACCGGTCTCCTGGATCAAAGTCCGGTAATTTATAGTCAGTGGCGTTAAAGGTTGCCTTAAGTGTCGGTACCCAAAGTGAGGTACTTGATGCTCTGGGAATGAGAACGGGCTGTGACAGCACCCCCACCTTCCATCTTTGTCGAACAAGTCTGACCTAGTTTCTTTGACTCCTACGAGACTTTCATCCCTCTAGGATGAAATCTTAAAGGCAGACGCTTTATCCTTGTTGTGGGGGTGAAAACAAGTATGTTAAGGCAAACAAAGGAATGTCTTGTGAGCAGTTTACTGCCAAAGCCTTTACAGTTACCATACAGGAGTGTCTGGATCCAACCAGAAACCTGGTGGCCAAGAGGGCTCTGCTGAAACAGGTGGAGGCAATTCCCCATCCTGCTGGTTAAGATGCAACATGTACGATGCACACAAGACTGTTGCTGACCTCTGCTCCACAAGGAAATTAAGGGTTTAAGTCAGGTAGGATGGACTTTTCATTTTGGACACACCCCTTGCTGTCCTCTAGCAGCACCTTTAGCTCAGTTGATATCCCTAAACATCCCCTCCAGTCTTTCACCTGGTGCCTCCAAATACCAACTTTAAGTAATCCATCATTCCTGAAAGTGTCACTAAAACCTGACAAACTGAAACTTGTGAGCCATTTTGTGTCATGGAAAGAAAGACCCTAAAAGTGTACAGCACACATGAAGACTTTGAGAGGTCTTAATATTATTAAATATTATTAAAAGTAGTAAAACCGACCTGGAGTGAGGAGAGTCCGAGCCCCTGAGGTGGTGGAGGCGAGGGGAGCCGACGCCTTTCAGGTAGGGGGAGCTGCCTCCTCGTTCTCTCTCTGCTTTGGCCTTCTGCAGCTCCTGTTTTCACAATACGTTAAATTACAATTCATCCATTTCTGCATTATATTATTTGCTTCTGGTCCCATCATATAGTCAGTCAATTAACAACCAATTGGCTAAACTCAATGAACTGATGGATCAAGCGGTCGGACCTGCAGTCTCATCTCCTCCAGCAGCTCCTGAGCTCTCTGCATCCGCTGGGCGATTAGGCTCTGCAGCTGGCCGACCGGCTGTACTGAAGCCCCGCCCCCCGCCTCCTCTTCAGTCGGGTAACGCCGCAGAGCGAAGCGTAACTCAGAGCGAATCATTGCCGGTCTGAAGGAGGAAGAAGGAAGAGGTAAACCGGGACCCTAACCTCCATTTCCAAAAATTACTTTCCCTTCTTGCTGATCATTTTCCAAATCGTGCATCAGTTTGTAAATACACTTCCTTCCTCTCAGGCAGCTGTCGTTTTCAGTTCATTTCTCTGAAAATCAACTCGCAGAGACTTGAAATTTGCTGCTCATAGATCGTCCATCACATCCAGAATTCTCATTCAGGAACAAGACCCAGAGGTTCCCCAATATCTTTATCTTGTGGACTTACTTGTGGTGATTTATCAGCGAAACTACGTTCCAACCTTTTGGTGGTTACCAAAAACATGAGATACCGGATACAAGTGGCTGAAATTTGTTTTCTACACAGAAAAAGCAGTAAGACAAAACTGGAGAAATGGAAGTCTGGGATACCTTGCTTGGTCTGCTGCCACCTCGACCCGGACTTGAATAAGACTTGGACCATGGATGGATGGATGGATGGATGGATAGATGTACAGATGGGTATAGGTCATTGGATGGATGAGTAGATGGATGGATGGTTGGATGGGTGGATAGATGGATGGATGTATGGATGGATGGGTAGATGGATGGATGGTTGGATGGGTGGATAGATGGATGGATGGATGGGTAGATGGATGGATGGTTGGATGGGTGGATAGATGGATGGATGGATGGGTAGATGGATGGATGGTTGGATGGGTGGATAGATGGATGGATGGATGGGTAGATGGATGGATGGATGGGTAGATGGATGGATAGATGGATGGATGGATGGATGGATGGATAGATGTACAGATGGGTATAGGTCATTGGATGGATGAGTAGATGGATGGATGGTTGGATGGGTGGATAGATGGATGGATGTATGGATGGATGGAAGGATGGATGGGTAGATGGATGGATGGATGGATGGGTAGATGGATGGATGGTTGGATGGGTGGATAGATGGATGGATGGATGGATGGGTAGATGGATGGATGGATGGATGGGTAGATGGATGGATGGTTGGATGGGTGGATAGATGGATGGATGGTTGGATGGGTGGATAGATGGATGGATGGATGGATGGGTAGATGGATGGATGGTTGGATGGGTGGATAGATGGATGGATGGATGGATGGATAGATGGATGGATGTATGGATGGATGGAAGGATGGATGGGTAGATGGATGGATGGATGGGTAGATGGATGGATGGGTGGATAGATGGATAGATGTACAGATGGGTAGATGGATGGATGGTTGGATGGGTGGATAGATGGATGGATGGATGGGTAGATGGATGGATGGATGGATGGGTAGATGGATGGATGAGTGGATAGATGGATGGATGGGTAGATGGATGGATGGTTGGATGGGTGGATAGATGGATAGATGTACAGATGGGTAGGTGATTGGATGATAGGTGGATAGATGGATGTATAGATGGGTGGATAGATGGATAGGTGGATGGATGGATGGATGGATGGATGGATGGATAGGTAGATAGATGGGTAAGTGGATGGATGGGTAGGTGGATGGATGGATGTATGGATGGATGGATAGATGGATGGATAGATGGATAGGTGGATGGATGGATGGATGGATGATGGATGGATAGGTGGATAGATGGGTAAGTGGATGGATGGGTAGGTGGATGGATGGATGATGGATGGATAGGTAGATAGATGGGTAAGTGGATGGATGGATGATGGATGGATAGGTAGATAGATGGGTAAGTGGATGGATGGATGATGGATGGATAGGTAGATAGATGGGTAAGTGGATGGATGGGTAGGTGGATGTATGGATGGATGGGTAGGTGGATGGATTGATGGATGGGTAGGTGGATGGATAGATAGATAATCCATTATAGCATTATATGTCTTTGTTAAAGTGAAGCCCTGAATACAGCAGAAGCGACATTTTCCAGAACAGCCGCTGATCTCCGAAGTCTTTCCTCAAGATGTAAACGTACGTTGATGGGGATGGATTCAGTAGGTTTTTAATACATCGCAATGTGAACATGTTTTGTCAGGTGAGGAGTTGTGTTGTGATAGTTTGTTTTGGTATCAGGTGTTTGCGTACCTGGAGGAGAGGACTTCATCCATGGAGGCACAGCGACTCCGGCCCTGCATGCTGAACCTCTTCCCGGGCTGTGGTGTTCGAGACTGAGCCTGAAGCACCTGAAAGGTAACTCTATGTTCAAGTCTTTTGTTTGTATCAGTGGTTCATTGGCAAGTGGAGGGAAATGTCTGCATAATAACAACCGACTTCTACCAATGTGTCAATGTTTTTTGACTTACTAGTAGTATTATTGATGACACATTCACAAATATTAGTTCTAGTGCCAACATCCCATGAAAAAGCTTACTAAAACAGCACAGTGCCGTGTCTCTGCACCAAAACAAATGAAACAAAAATACAGTCTATGCTTCTGGCTATGTAGGTCAGTCTCAGCCCTACACTAACTAACTAATGCACTCATGAAATAATCATGTATATTAACAAAATGATTAAATGAGTAATGATCAGTGTAGCAGAAGAAAATCTAGAGTTGAGTTTCCCAACCTGCACCTGCTGGGTCTTGTGGACCTTGCAGGCCTCCAGGTGGGACTGTTTGCCCCAGGACCGCTCACTCCCCCTGGGCAGACTGCTGGTCTTCACCTTGGGCTCCTTGGATGTCACCCGGAGCTTGGACACGTCGGTGCCGGCTCGCTGACGAACTCCGCACCCCCCAGATCCGACAACTGCCACTTGTCCACACGAACCCCCCCTCTGCAGCTCGTCTGGGAAGCTGTTATCCCAGGATTCCCGGGAGGCGTCATCGTAGTCCGGACAGAAACCATCCTCCTCTGCAACCAGGTCCAGAGTCAGCATGCCATGGGACGAGGTGGACGCCTGGGGTGAGTGGCCATGGACGAGATAATAATAATGTCACGTTTCAAAAAGGTTTTGATTTAGAAAAACTGAAAGATGGAATTAGTTAAAATGAGAGAAAGACTGCAAGAGAACTCAGTACCACTGCCATCAGGTGTCCTCTGGTCGGCAGCCGGCGGCCATGAGGGATCTTTGCCCGGTCTCTGGTGGGATGAACCAGCGCACTGTCCTCCTCGATGGTCACCTGGACAGAGACACAGATATCAACTCTAGCGCCTTCTGAAATGTCCGGGAGCCAGTTTTTGACTGTAAAGGCAGGTATATGAAATTTAACAGAAAAGACTGAGTAAGGAGGTGGTTGGGGTGGATGGAGGGCCAGAACCTGGACTTTGAACCAGGAGACCAGGGTTCGTGTCCCGTGTGAAACAAAAAGTCAACATTAAATATTTGTATTTTAGTTATGCGAGTTCTGTAAATTGCGTAAGTTACACAAGTGACGTAAGTTAACTTACGTGTTAACTGACCTACGTAGTTATTTTAACCCAAACCTGTTCTTTTCAAACATAGAAGTAACCCTTTCATCAGGTTTTTAACACTTAATTAGTTACATCAAGGTTTATTCCAACAGGTCACTCTTACCTCGTCTAAGATGCGGTTCTTGGCTTTGATGATGGCCACATTGAGGGCGTTGACCCATGATTCCTTTTCCTCTGGACTCACCGCCAGAAACACAAGGTTGGGAACCTGCAAAGAGACAAAACTTTACTGTGTTTGTTTTATGATACAGATTCTGATGCAGTAGGATTTACCTTTCTAGTCTAAACCAACCAGACTGAAACTAAACTAACAGAGAAATTCAGGCCACCCGTCTGCAAGGCAAAGTTCAAGCAAACCTTCAAAACGCTGTGAAAAACTGTGTTAATATTATGTGAGCGTCAAGATGATGATGATATGAAACCCAGACTCATTTGATCTCGTTGCGATGTAAGTTTTTTGATTGAAGCCATTTGGTGTCCCTAGTGTAGCTAGCATGCTACGATGTGCAGTTTTCGTAAGTAAAGTTTTTCACTGAATTCTTTGTTTTAATCTATAGAGAAAGCCCGTAACGCCAAAGGTAGCGGGAAACATATTACGCCAATCGTGGGGTTCCGCTGAAGTAAGGGTCTGCTAGGGAATACATAGTAGGGCTGAACCCGAATAGTCGAAGATTCAATGCTTCCATAGGCGGAGCCTGATTCGACAGTCAATCTCGCAGCCGAAGCTACGCAATGGCGTTATGAAATGAGGATCAAACCATTTTGGCGATATGGGGGTGCTCAACGTCTGGTTTTACATAGAACTACCTGTTTTCTCCCAATAAGTTAATATACAGTCTGTTACAATACACATTTCAATGTTTAATGTTGTGAATAAACATGTAAAAAGAAAAACCCTACCCCTTGGTGTGCTTCAGCGGGTGTGTGTGTGCGAGCAGAGAGAAAAGGGTTAAAAATAAGCCTCAGTTTAGATGGAAATGTACAGTGCAAGTTACACTGACTATAGAGACTGCAGCTATGCAGCTTCCAGCCACCATGTGTAGGCTTCTGGATGCGTCTTGTTGAGACGCTCTGGTGACGCTTCATACGGACGCTGAAGGGTACCTTTAGCGTAAAATACTTAAGCTTTGTCACACTGTCTGAGATGAGAACGCGTTGGAAACCCAGATGGCTGCCGAGTGGCAGGACTTGCCTGTAAGGACTTTGCTAACGTCCTGCAGATGTTGTTCACTGTGTTCTTTAGCAGCGCTGATGTTATTTAAGCTATTCTTCCACAGTTTGTTCTTCCACATACTTCAAGTTCTTCAGTACATCTAATTTCCTTTGTAGTGAAGAAGTTAATAGACTTTAGTTTCAGATTACACTCTGTTAGTATTCTAAAAACTGGATGCAGTTCTTTGCCACTAAATATCGGCAAAGTTGAAGTTTAATACATCTCATGTTTTTTGTAATTTGATTTTAATACCCGCTGATGTCGAGTCGAGAGGACTGTCATTCAGTGACTTTAACTGGACGAGGATGAGCAGCAGGGACAGGAGGTATTTCAGATTCACTGTCTTTATTTTAAAGAACAGAAATAAGTAAAAATCATTTGACTGAATCTTTTACATGCTGTCAGCTCTGCAATGAACTGCAGCAGACCTAAATACTGCAGAGAGAGAGAGAGAGGGTGGGTGAGCGAGGCAGACTAACATGTTTGCAGGGATTATTCTGCTGTAACCCGGCCTCTGACAGACTAATTGGATTCTGCAGATTAAACCTTTCAGAGGAGAAAAAAACCCAACACGGCTCAGCCAATCGCTGCAGTCGAGGCTGGGTGGGCGGGTGATATAAAATCTGATCCACCAATCCTGAGACGGATGTAGGAGGCAACCCACCAATGAGGTGGCAGCGAGGGTCATTCGGGGCAGAGTAATCTCTGAGCACAGAGGACGGACACGAAGACAAACAAAGACAGACACACTGTGAGGACGGAAACGTCTCAGCAGCTGTTGGACTGAGATGAAACTGTAATAACTTTAATGATCCTCTGACTTTCCATCTGGCGCCGCCATCAGGTCAACATGTTAACGTGTCCAACACTTTGGTTTGTGACCAAATACCTGCAGGACTGCTGACTTTCCCATCAGCCTCAGCGGTCCTCGGGGCGGTTGGGAGGGGCATAGAGCCACAGACCTGAAACTGCATGACTGTGATTCATGAGGTGGCATAAAAAAAATGGCTCTGACGCTTCGAGGCTATTTTACTCACCAACATGTTCTCAGTACCAACTCGTCACACATGGGCACTTTGGTCAAGACAAGAGTTTACAGAGTTTTAAACGAATCCGATCTCCGTCCACAGCAGCATTTTAGCTGCGTATCAGAGTTGATCTCCGTCTGTATTAAAACGCACAGCTAGTGGTCGTTCAGGTTCACTGGGAAGCAGATGGTCTGTAGTTACAGAAGATTTGGTGAAAGAATAAAGAAACGCAGAAGAAGAACCGCACCAGGTTTTATTTTGCATGGACCGATAACGAGCTGGGACTGTTACTGAATGTGACACGCGGGTTAAAAGAGTAAATACGGCTACATGCACAGTACAAGTGGAGGCTGTGAGTCTTTACACGGTACAGAATGTTTTAATAAAAACTCCAAATCATTCACTCTGATAAGAGCCAATCAGAGAGCCGAGCGTGAGCGTCTGCGTCATCGTTTCTAAAGTCCTCCGGTTTTGCCCGTCTTCACTAAAACGCTACCCGGAGTTTCAAAACGAAAAACGGGGTCGGCAGCGTTTTCAAACTGGGAGGAGCAGACGCAGCAGTGTGGGCGGGGCCTGCGTAAAGGGGTGGTGGTGGTCCAGTGGATAAGACACATGCCTTTGGTGTGAGAGACACAGGTTCAATCCCCCAGTGTGACCCATCCACCATTGTGTCCCTGAGCAAGACACTTAACCCATCGCTGCTCCAGAGGCGTGCGACCTCTGACATGTACAGCAGCTGTAAGTCGCTTTGGATAAAAGCGTCAGCTAAATGAATAAATGTTTTTTTAGACGTTACAGTCTGGTTAGGTTCAGGAAAAGATCACGGTTTGGGTTAAAATATCTCCCGGGACGTCTCGTATGGGTCGCATTGGGAAGCTTCTTTAAAACGACCCATGTTGTGATGTAATCAGTAGCCCTGTCAGCGCCTCCTTCCTCAGGGCCGCTGGTCTGACGTGACTCACGGTGTTTCCCGGCTGTCTGCAGCGCAGCACGGTGAAGCGGCTGTGGTTCTTCTTGCTGCGACTCTTCGCCTTCCTCAGCTCCTCTGAACGCTCGTAGTCAGCCAGGTCAAACACCTCCTGTGCTTTCCGTTCGTCTTTCACCTGCAAACACACACAGAAGCAACAAACTCAAAACCTTCTTTATTTGCCTTTTTTAAATATAAAGTGAAAATGAAGGAGAGAAGCAGCAAACACAAAGTCATCAATCACAATATAAATCAAAACGAACAAGGTGCAAGTGACAGACACTGGGATGGGAACAAGGAGTCCTTGAAGTGGTTCCAGGAGTCCTTGAAGAGGTCCCTGTGGCCCTTAAGAAGGTCGTAGTGCTTCTTGGGGAGTTTCTACCGGTGTTTAATGTAGCTGGTGTGCTACGTTGTGAAGATACTGTTCTTCAGTCTCACAGATTTGATTCACTGTACTTGATGTATTTCAGTGTCGTGGATCCTGGAGGAGGGTGTAGAGATCCAGGAGGAGTCCTTGAGGGGGTTGTGGGGCCCTGAAGGAGTTATCAGTGGTTCACAGCGAGTTTCCAGGCGCCTTTGACGAGGTTTCCAGACATGTTTTGTCCTATTTGTTTAAATTCTCTTTACGTCCCGACAGCGATCAATAAGTCAATGCCAGGACACCTGAAGAGGGATTCTGGTCCTCCAACGCCCCCCTACCCTACAACCCCCTACCCTACATCCCACAACCCCCTACCCTACATCCCCCTACCCTACATCCTACACCCCCCTACCCTACATCCCACAACCCCCTACCCTACATCCTACAACCCCACAACCCCCTACATCCTACAACCCCCTACCCTACATCCCACAACCCCCTACCCTACATCCTACAACCCCACAACCCCCTACATCCTACAACCCCCTACCCTACATCCTACAACCCCCTACCGTACATCCCACAACCCCCTACCCTACATCCTACAACCCCCTACCGTACATCCCACAACCCCCTACCCTACATCCCACAACCCCCTACCCTACAACCCACAACCCCCTACCCTACATCCCACAACCCCCTACCCTACATCCTACAACCCCCTACCGTACATCCCACAACCCCCTACCCTACATCCCACAACCCCCTACCCTACATCCCACAACCCCCTACCCTACAACCCACAACCCCCTACCGTACATCCCACAACCCCCTACCCTACATCCCACAACCCCCTACCCTACATCCCACAACCCCCTACCCTACAACCCACAACCCCCTACCCTACATCCCACAACCCCCTACCCCACAACCCCATACCCTACAACCCCCTACCCTACAACCCACAACCCCCTACCCTACATCCCACAACCCCCTACCCCACAACCCCATACCCTACAACCCCCTACCCTACAACCCACAACCCCCTACCCTACATCCCACAACCCCCTACCGTACATCCCACAACCCCCTACCCTACATCCCACAACCCCCTACCCTACATCCCCCTACCCTACATCCTACAACCCCCTACCCTACATCCCCCTACCCTACATCCCACAACCCCCTACCCTACATCCCCCTACCCTACATCCTACAACCCCCTACCCTACATCCCCCTACCCTACATCCCACAACCCCCTACCCTACAACCCACAACCCCCTACCCTACATCCCACAACCCCCTACCCTACATCCTACAACCCCCTACCGTACATCCCACAACCCCCTACCCTACATCCCACAACCCCCTACCCTACATCCCCCTACCCTACATCCCACAACCCCCTACCCTACAACCCACAACCCCCTACCCTACATCCTACAACCCCCTACCGTACATCCCACAACCCCCTACCCTACATCCCACAACCCCCTACCGTACATCCCACAACCCCTACCCTACATCCCACAACCCCCTACCGTACATCCCACAACCCCCTACCCTACATCCCACAACCCCCTACCCTACATCCCACAACCCCCTACCCCACAACCCCATACCCTACAACCCCCTACCCTACAACCCACAACCCCCTACCCTACATCCCACAACCCCTACCGTACATCCCACAACCCCCTACCCTACAACCCACAACCCCTACCCTACACCCCTACCCTACATCCTACAACCCCCTACCCTACATCCCACAACCCCCTACCGTACATCCCACAACCCCCTACCCTACAACCCACAACCCCCTACCCTACACCCCCTACCCTACATCCTACAACCCCCTACCCTACATCCCCCTACCCTTCATCCTACAACCCCCTACCCTACATCCCACAACCCCCTACCGTACATCCCACAACCCCTACCCTACAACCCCCTACCCTACATCCCACAACCCCCTACCCCACAACCCCCCTACCCTACATCCCACAACCCCCTGCCCCACAACCATCCAACCCCACAAACCCTACCCTACACCCCCTACCCTACAACCCCCTACCCCACACCCCCCTACCCTACATCCCACAACCCCCAACCCTACACCCCCTAACCCACAACCCCCTACCCTACATCCCACAACCCCCTACCCTACACACCCTAACCCACAACCCCCTACCCTACAACCCCCTACCCTACAACCCCCCTACCCTACATCCCACAACCCCCTACCCTACAACCCCCTACCCTACAACCCCCCTACCCCACACCCCCCTACCCTACATTCCCACAACCCCCTACCCTACAACCCCCCTAACCCACAACCCCCTACCCTACAACCCCCCTAACCCACAACCCCCTACCCTACACCCCCTAACCCACAACCCCCTACCCTAAATCCCACAACCCCCTACCCCACACCCCCCTACCCTACATCCTGCACTTGAATAAACCCTGAGCTCTGAGAGAGGACACAGGTGAGGCTGTTGACCTGAACTGTGTTTGATATTAACGGACCTGACAGCCAATCAGAGAGCAGGTTTCTCGGGCGTCCCGTCTTCCCACTGAGCTTCACAGCGGCTGTTGGCTTGATGTGATCGGGTTAACGACATCACACACAGGTGCAGTGACACAGAAACAACACCTGGTGCACGTTTAACACCTGTGATTCAGGAGAAAGTATCTGTTCACTGTATTCTGTCCTTTCTGATGAATAAAGTGTGTGTGTTCAGAAGAATTTAATCTACAGAACATGAAGTCATTAAAAGGAGCTCTTGTGGTTCTTTAAGTGCTAAAACCTTTACACCTCAGGGTTTCCCAGTGTTCCCAGTGTAAATGACACCTATGGATCTGAGTACTTAATCCAGCTCTGTTCTGACGAACACGCACGGTTCTTCATCTGTATATGGGACAGATCTCAGATCAGCTGTTCTGATTTCCACTTTTTATTATTTATTTATTTAATAAACAGATGGACGTGAGGATTTTCTGTCCCTCAGGTGTAAAGACAGCAGCAGAGACTCCGTGTTTAACATTAAACCTTTCAGAAGAGCTCGCAGTATTAAAACCTCTCTGCAGCCTGAAGGAGCCAATCAGCTGCAGCGTAAAGGAACGCCACAGGAAGAGGAGGTCACGTCGGTAAAAGAGGCTCACTTTGAGTTAAACGAGTTGACTCGCTCGCTGCGTTTGCTTCCATGTTTCATTCATCGGACGTTTTAACTTCGTTCAACTTTAATCCAGAGAGTTTATCTGAGGAGAGTCTGCAGCTGCTCCGGACTGGAAACCAGCTCAGAGACTTGACTGCATTTATAACTCGAAGTACAGCTACATGCCTCGTACACGACGCTGCTTCACGATGTTCTTATTTAATATGAACTGTCCGCAGGGAAAAGCTGCTGCTCACTGGAGGATTTGTAGATCTTACCTGAGTTTAAAAATCTCACACGCAGAACGACAGAACGAACCGATCTGTAATATTTTAATCTTAAGAACACACACAGCAGGCGGTTCCCGACCACACACTCGCTTACTCTACACGGTTCCGGGGATCTCACAGAATCTCGCATGACCAAACGTGACTTCAGACAGAAACGAACACGGAGGCAGACTGTCGTCGTCAGCTGGTTGACAGAAAAACAAAAGAAGAAGAGAATCAAACTGCGGACGAAGTCGAGGCTGAGAAGAGGGAATCAGCAGGTTTACACATTTTATAGAGCAGAGACACGCTGGGGACGCTTCCCGCTCAGCTCGCTCTCATTGGCTGCTGCAGGTTTCTGATCTGAGGCTCCGATTCAGTCGGCGACGCCATGGCCGTTCTGTCGGCGCCGGAACGCCCCCCCCTAGTGTTCGGCCAGCGTTACACAAAAACATGTTCCTTTAATCTGACCCTTTAATAACAATATTAAACTTTATCCCTACAGCACGTTTCAGACAGGAAGTGCTACACTTTAAAACGGACGCAGAATGACGATTAAACCATGTAAAATCAGAATTTAACCCACTGACTGAATAATAATAATAACAAAGTGAAAGCAGCAGTTTCCTGCCTGGATCAGGACCGTTGAAGCTGGTTGAAGTCTAAAGTGAGGAGTGGTTATCTCCAGGTCATGTGATCACAGCTTTAACTAACGAAGGCTGCATCCCAGATTTACTTTCTTCTGTTTCTGGAAACCTCCAGTAAACCTGAAGGCACCTCTAGTGAACAAAGGAGTTGCAGCTTGGTGCTAGCTTGTTAAAAGCTCTGTATTAAAGGAGGAGGAGCTTAATTCTAAAGGCTACAGGAAGCAGCTGATGTGCAGGTCACACACACACAGTGATTTAAATTCAGATCAATTCCAATCAACAGCTCTGAAACCATCGATCACTGCGTGTCGTTAAACCCTCTGGACCAGAAAAGCATGTGTTCACATCAGCGAGGTCACATGGGGTCAGCCACTGTGTGTGTGTGTGTGTGTGTGTGTGTGTGTGTGTGTGTGTGTGTGTGTGTGTGTGTGTGTGTGTGGTGGCGTTGACCATTTGTCGATATCAGCGCCGGTGTGAGCTTCAGCTCTGGCAGCAGAAGCACGCTGAGAGTAAACAGACGTCATTAAAGCGGTTTCCTGACAGAGCGAGATTTTAATCCAGAAGAACAGCTGAAGAAGAATTCAGCAACACGCTGATCAGATGTGAGACTCAAAGCTTCCCAGACGAACCTGTGGACGTGAATCCACTCCACTCTGGATCCTATCACCACTGCACGCCAAACCCTGACCGTGAACCGTAA